GTTGCATTGGATCTCAATTCAGCCTGTCGGGCTCGCTAGGGGTTTTCCACCAACTTGGGTTTGGATGCTTTGGACCCAAAAAAAATTTGTTCCCCGTATAGTGCCCCGATAGTCAATAATTTGGTGGAAAAAAGACTCTAAACCTTGGCACTGTGACGCCCCAATCCTCGGCACAAAAAAAGAGAGACTTGTACTATTTCTCTCAATTTTCATATTGAATTTCTTTGTGTGGTGTGGCTCCGTGATATTTTCTTGATTTCAGATTCTCCCATGTTAAATCCTGTTGTTCTTTTAATTTCTTTTCATTACAATTTTTTATTTCTTGTTTGTTTGGTTACGTGGTTTATTTCTCTACACACTTTACATTGCATTTATTTAATTTCAAACAAACAAAAAAAATCACCTATTTTTATTTTGAACTTATCTAAATAACTTCAAATATTTTAAATATATTACATATAGCATTCAATTTTACTCCCCATTTTTCCCAGCAAAACAAATTGATGTGACCTTTAAACTACTAGGTGATGCAAGAGATCTGAAAGGATGCTACTAATGAGCTTCTCATATTTCAATTCAATTGATAAGATCAAACTGATATAGATGTCATAGATTTATTATCTTTTTATTTATTTTATTTGATATATCATTTATTATTTTATTTTATTTTATTTTTTCTTCCTAACATCATATATCTTCAACTGAATTGCATATCATTGTATGTTGCCCATAAATTGCAGCATTTGAACTTCCAATCTCAAGACAAAAATCGGTACGTGAACAGTGCGATGCCAATATTGACGTTGGACTATTCACCTACGCCAAAAAAAGCGATTAACTTTGCACTTTGCTTAGCTTCGCAGGAAAAACACAAAATATGAAAGAGATGGTTACCTTAGCAAAGAAGCGTCCGAGAAAAGAAAAATATAATTCCATTGGAGATGAACTATCATATTTTGAAGTTTTACGATATTTTAGAGTGGAAAGTAGGATTTTTGGTTGGAGATGCCCTAAAGAAAATCGTGATCACGATAAAAGAAATCAAATTTTGCGATAAGAAAAAAATGTCCCCATCATTGTTGCTACATGGAATAATCTATGACCCATTTTTTGCAATAAGGACCAGTCTCAAAATCATATATGTAGCCTACCCTATAATTTTATAATAAGGACAATCTTCTCAACGTCGACATATATTACTCAAATGAGTAAGATAAGAGAAATAGAGAGTATAAAAAACAAAGAACCTTTCATTTGTACGTACCTATCCATCTTATGCACGACAATCGCTTAATATCTATTGGATTTTTATATGTTTTGGCCTTGTTGAAATGGAAATTTTTCGATATATTAGTAGAATTCAAGTTGAATGGTTGAAGTGAAGAAATGTATCAGACCTGTTGTGTGATAGAAAAATATTCCTCAAACTTAAGGCAAAATTTGATAAGATGGGGATCAGACTTACAATATTTTATGTCAAAAAATATTTGTCATTAAAATAGAAGCATATGATTAAGTTAGGTATATATTGATGGTAGATGAGTGGCTTTACTCATAGAGATAGAATTTGAAACAAGCATATACGTGAAAAGGTTGGAGTAGCTCCAGTGACAATTAAGAATAGAAAGAGTCGTCTTAGACAGTTTGGTAGCATAAAACATTGGCCTTCTGATGGTCCGGTTAGGAGAGTAGATGTATTAGATTTAGCCTATGTTAAGAGAGGTAGAATTACACCGAAAGAGACTTAGTTAGAAAATATTAGAAATAACATTTTTTAAATTAAATTTAAATGAACACAATGGAGAAAAATGATCCATGTAGCTGGCCCCACACAGAGGGATAAAACTAAAAGCTTGATGTTATTACAATGATAGGTTAAGCTCACAGGTAGCTTGATTAGCCAAAAGAATGGCGACTTACATTTGTTAATATGGGTTTTTATTATATGGCTTTGATGTATTTGAATGCATGAATTCAGAGATTTTGGCACAAGCGCATAAAACTGATACCTATTGAATGTTTGGGAATAAAAGGTCTCAGTGCGCAATGGGAAAGAATAGAGAACTGTTATTCTGAAAATAGGTCGGTTAGCTAAGATGTGTGAGAAAAAAATTTCTTAAGAATATTCTGATAAGAGAAAAGTAAGCATATTTCAATTTATATTTTTATATTTTAAATACTTGGCTTGATTGTTATGAATGGGAAAAATTGAGTTTATGTCTCATAATATTCAAAATTGGAGAAATATACCCGTTATTTTATTTCTTAAAAAAAATATGATGGAAAGTTTTCTTTATACTAAAAAGTCTATTGAAGTCAAAGAGATGCTCTAACTAACATGTGCATAAATTTTTACATAGGAAATTGATCAACCCTCATATTCTTAGTGTTGGCCATTCTCGTTCATGAGTGATGGTTCTTAAGCAAAGTTCTAAATCAATGTTTTCATCTCCATCTTTGCCCAAACGGCGATTGTCTTTAAATGTTAGTGATTAATTTGACATGTTTACACCTTAAACCTGATAAAGGCAGTGTAGTATCCTAAAGAAATTGTGAAAACTATTTAGGGCTCTATCAATCCCTAAACAATACTTAGGTTTTCTTTGATATTGAAATTATAAAAATCCACTTAATATACGCAAGTAAATGTGCCAAATCAAATAACATAATGATTAAGTAGGATATCGATCTCATGAGGAAGAACGTTTACTTGTAAATACTAGTACTGTCCATTTCAACTACTACAATAACAATAAATTTGGTGGAGATTCAATCACTTAATTTAAAATAAAAATAATTAAATGAAATACTATTTAGATAAAATGTTTTGGATTGATATAATGTAATATAAGCTTCATAAAAATTTATTATTTATTGTGCTTGCTTCATTGTGGTTATTATACTCTATTCTATTATTTAACGAGGGCAAACTTTGAAGAAACCTTATTCAAAATTGCCTCTTAAATACTTTGTATTTTTTTTTAAATAATATCTTATTCAAATCGTATTCAAACATTAACTAAAATTTTTTAAGTATAATTAATTTTCGATTAAAATTTAAAGAATATTCAATTATGATTTAAATTTTAATTAAAAATAATCTTAATTATTTAAATCTTATTTAAATGCTATTCAAAATCAAATTTGGCCGCTAGACTTTAAAAGAAAATATCTAAGTGAAGAGATTTTAATTCGAAGGCAATTTTTAGGTACAATTCTTTAGGCCAATATTATGGGTCATATAAATTTATAAAAAAAAAACATACATGCGTTTCAATTTAGTATTCCCAACATAACCCAGGTAAAGAGGTGGACCAAATATATGTCCGTCCTTGCTGGAACCAGCCTGCCACAAAGCAGTCATCGACGCAGCCGCCTACCAAGTGCTTTTCAAGCTACTTTCCCCACAGCCAAAACATGTTGGATAAAATATAATTCAATTCAATTCAATTTATTTGAAATTATCACGTCCATCTTTAGAAAAATTATTATGTGAGTAGACCATACGCAGAACGATATCTGGAGACCAATCATAATGCATCATATCAGCAGTATCGTGATACGAAGCAAAGAGGTGGGATGATGTGACACATTTTCGTTGATCTCCTAACAACGTCCAGCATCATCACATAATAATTAATCTCATTTTTATTACTTTTCCAATTTTAAATAGAACATCAACTAAAGAAAGATATTGAACTTTACTGTTTTTATTTTTTTAATAAAAACTTAATTTTTAGAACTCAAGAAATAAGGATTTTTTTTCTCATTTATTATCAAATTACTGAGTTAAAATTCATGTAATATCACAAGTAAATATCATTATAATACTTAAATAATTAAAAAATGAAAGTAACAATGTTAGGTATTGATTCACTTTTAGGCTAGATTGTTTCTTAGGAACATGTTATCTGGTAGTCTTATTCCTCTTTATAAAGAGGTTGTAGCAGGCTTTGAGAGGAGCAAGCTAAGACATAAGATTTAATTCCTATTCTCTTATTTTCCATGCCTCTCTCTCTTCCAAGAATCCTCTTCCTCATTCAAGATCCTAACAACCAATATTTTAATTTCAGAAAATTAGCAAAATAACTAAAAAAACAAAACAAGTTTTTTTCTAACAGGCAGCATACTTTAAATCCAGTAAAAAAAAAAATCTTAAGCATTTATTGTCTTCGAAATTATTAATTAGAATGACTGAGACTTGCAAGATAAATTTAAAAATATCTGATTATATTGCTCAACATAATAACTTTTTTGTATTATCATAAGTTATAACTGAAAACTAAAAATATACAACAACAACAATACTTGGTCAAACCACCTTGTGTTTGAACACAAGTAATAGCTCCTGCATACATATCTTTAATGATTTGAATATAAGCATTATTGACTCCTTTCTTATCAAGAACTCTCCATAGCACTTCTCTTGGAAACTAAAAATATATATAAAATAAATAAACAATTCTATAACTATCTTCACATAAGTATCAAATGCCTTTCTACTTTCAATAAAACAATAATAATATAAAACTATAAAGAAAAAGATAATCATAAAACAATACCAAACGTAGGCTAACATTTGTGATGGCTTTTTTACTATTTATTAAAGCAACTGTATAGTACCAAAAAAAAAAAAAATTAAGAATCATTAAAAAAGCCATCCCAAATGAAGCCATAGTTGCATTACAATCTGGAAGGTTTAAGACTGCAAAGAGCCTGAAAACATCACCTTGAAACGATAAAAACACGAGTGAGTCCACCACCAATACAACTACCTAATATTAGTCAATAGTCGCCAGTTCCATTTAGATATATCATGAATAGTATAGCACAAACTGCTATTTAGGCTTTGTTTGGGATGACTTTTTTTGCTGCTTTTTAAAACAGCTTTTCAGTATAAAAATTAAATTATTTGTACTAGAAAGCTGCTTTAAGAAGCAGCAAGAAAGTCGTCCCAAACAATGTCTCAATTTCCATCCAATTACAATTTACTAGAAAACTGAACTAAAAACACAATTAAAGGACACTCAGCATTGCCATCACCAAATGCAAGTTCCATGGAACATCTGCTGTCAATTTTTTTACATGCAGAAATATTATGCTAATTTGCCTTACAGAAATTGCTCGCTTTAAAATTTTTTCATAACTAGGTAAGGGCAGATACTAGGTTTGAAGGGACTTAGAATTAGAGAATGAATGCATTCTATTAGAAGGAATAGCTCATCAAGATGATTAAAATCTGGGAAAATCCATTGGATTGAATTCATAATAATTAAATGCTTCTACATCATCTCCCAAAGCACTTCAGAATGGATGACAAAAGCGTTGAAGACAGAAACTTCATACCAGCAGAACCTCCAGGAAAGTATGATATTGCATAATAGGCGAGTGCCAGAACCTATGGAGAACAAGCATGTAATTAGCTGAGATTCCATTTAGTATTTAAAAAAGATGAAAATATTATATGTATGTCAATGGGTTGATTGAATAGGATCAAGAAAAGGGAAGGCATTTATTTTCTTGTAGACACTAGGGGTGCCAATATTGGACACGACCCGAAAAATTGACTCGAATATGACACGAAAATTTCGGGTTCGGGTCAACCCGAACCAGGTCGGGTTCAGGTTGGAGATTTCGACCTGTTTGTAAAAACATGTCAAATTCGGGTTGCCCCGGAAACCCGAAATCAACCCAATTTTGACCCGGACCGAGTCTTCCAACCGCGTCATTCGTCAGATAAAGATGCAGCGTCAGGCATACCGTCGGCTGTCACGTCCGCCAATCATATGACGTTTGCGCCATTCGCTTCAATCGTCGCTTCCGCATTCAGCCGTCCACGCCATCCTCAGTCGTCGCGTCGCAAAACGGGTCGATTTCCTACTCGACGCTCGTAGTGACGTAACCTCAGAACTCGTTGGGTTGCCAGTCCGCCATCCTTGCCGACGTCGCCGTCCCACTCCCACCACCGCGGCACGGCTCCGCCGTTGCTGCCTCGTCCGGGTCAAACACTCAAACTGTCCCGCGGTCCGTTGAATCCGTTCGTGACTATCAAAGGGAGGTCGCAATTGAAATCCGTGTTGGGTCGTGTTGGCCCGAACTTGAAGCAGGTTGGGTTCGAGTCCAAAAAACCGACCCGTTTGCAAAGACGAGTCGGGTTCGGGTTGACCCGAACAGTACCAAGTCAGTTTCGGGTTCGACCCAAATCCAATTGACACCCCTAGTAGACACCAGTCCAACAGAAGTTTAAAAAAAAGGCTAAAAGAAAGGTCATATTTTAGAACTGAGTTTGATATGAAAAAATAAAATCCAAGGCAGAACAAGAAATATTTAAAATTTGGCAAAATGTCCCGAAGTAGAAGCAACTTTCGCACAGAAGAATCTTAAAGAACAGATTGTTTAAGGTGCCATGCAAAATACCTGAATCACAGAAAAGAAAACAGAAAGCAGGTAACTGTGCTGCACCATGGATACATAAATTGTTCCAACCATACTGGCTATAAAACCCAATGTGAAAGGAAGCCTCTGCAATAAAAAAAGGAAAATGTAAACAGATAAGCTATGCTATACTCACTAGTACAATTTCCAAAAGGATTATAAAATATAGAAACTCGTTAACAGCTGGAACATATTAGAGAATGTCAAGGGTAGAAACCGCACGTAGAACATAGGAATTAGTATATGAAATCATACAAACTAAAGCATGATCAGGCATAAAGAATACTTTCTAATTTCAGCAAATTAATTACAATATAATTAAAGAATTAGTTAATTTCATCTAATGAATTATGGCTGATCATTACGTATGAAACTCAAACTGAGCTCGATAATGCCTCTAACTTGAATTGCCTCAAAATCAAATTTAATGTACTTAAATTCGAGAATGTCTTTCTCAAAATTACTTTGATTCAACTCACTATCAGTTTAATATATAAAATTGCGTAAATAACAGATTTCTTTATACTTACACGTACATATAAAATCTCAATTAGTTTAATAATCACGTTCAACTTGAATCGAGCCATAATTGAAATATTTGATTTTGAGTTAAGGTTGGCTTGCTCTCATTTGACTCTAATATCCATTAATGAATTGCTTAATTTAGGGCCTAATTATTACAATACTTTAAGATTAAGGCTTTGTTTGGGATGTCTTTCTTATTATTTCTTAAAGCAACTTTTTAATATAAAATCTGCTTTAAGAAGCAATAAAAAAGTCGTCCAAAAGAAGCCTAAATTTCTATAAGCTATAAATTTAACATAACATAGACGTCAAAGTAGCATGAGGTAAAAGGAGAACAAAAAGCACAAAAAATGCCTCTCACGCTCGTAAAAACTACAATGGTTTCAACAGTAAAAAGGAAAAAAAAATATTAATTAAAAAACTCTCGTATAACCTTATTATAAACTACAATTTTAGCACTTCTGTGTCAACTCTTAATAAAAAATGTACGTGAAATATGATGTCCGAATTTCTTAACATTGTATGTACTGCAGAAATTCGCCAGCTTTAGTGCTAAAAAAGGTTAGGTATTTATGTAGATTGATTTCCATACTTCCTATATTTAACAAGTAGGCATGGTTAGAGAGATAAAAACAAGATGCAATAGCATCTGGGTGTGTGAGGCTGGAACATGCCGAGCATCCACTCAGAGAATATATGGATGAATATCATTGGAAGCTAGGATGGTTACAAAAAATAATGAGCATCTACTGTCCTTATAAGCTGTAAAATTTAGACAGAACCCCACAACTCAATGGAAAACACTCACTTCAACAAAAAACAAGCTCATAACACTGACATTGGCCAGATTTAGATTTAATTATTGGATATTTTTTTTCATATAAAGATTTTTTAAAACATCCAAAGGATTCACGCATCACAAACCATCAAATATCAAACACTTGCTAACTTAAAATATAAACAAACAATAGCAAAATTAGAAGGCAAATGATAACAAAATGATGAAAAAAAAAGAGAAATTCAACAAGAAATTAGAATCACGTAAAATCAACCAGCAATTATAATTTAACTTTAACAATCTAAATTTCTGATGTGTTAATTTTAATTATTAATATGAAATAGAACAAGAAACAAAAATATCAAACCAAGAAAGAGCATGTTCATGTTGGTTTAAGGGATGACTAATCTAAAAATTAGGTAGTCACACTAGTAATGCACACGAAAGCATTATGCATCTAAACCACAATAGATTGAAACTAGGAAAAAAAAACCTCATTCAAGTCAAAAGTAAAAAAAATCATGCTTAACCACTATTAAACAGGAGAATAATTGAAAATTATTCAAAAAAATAATTTTAAGCCCACTTTAACAGGATTTAGAGTTTCTTAATCTCCTGATGATTCCAATTTAAATTCAAAAATTATGAACCTTTCTAGGGCTAGTACAAAGGTTAGTTTTGACCTCTAGCATAAATTTCAAATCAAATGAAAACTACGTTCTCCTAATACAAATTAGGTATATCTTCAATATTCCTAAAGTCAACCCGATATCAAACTAGTTCGAACTTAGTTATCCTAGGTCTCCTAGGCCTACTCTAATATCCTAGGGTTCTTAAAATCTTATAGGTGACCTTAGACATTTCAAGGTTAACCTTAGGTCGGCTAGAACTTCCTAAATCAAACAATATATTCACCTAAATCCTAGGTAACCATAGGTTAATCATAGGTTTATACTAGGATCTCCTTTTCAATTCAGGTTAATCCCTTCTGCAGCTAGTTTAATCTTAAGTTCAATTTAAATATTTTGTCAGCCTAGCAAGCTCTATGTCTAATTCAAAACATCAAACATTTATCCCACTATCTAGGGTCAGATACACGAAACCTTTTCTACATTGTGTCATGTTAGGAGTCAAATTCTCATTTAAATCTAAGAAAAGAAATATCTTTTTTAATACAATCTAACCAAGTATTTTTAGGTCTACCTCTATATTTTTTAACATAAGTCTAACACGGTCAATGAGAAGCATGACATTTTAAGTGACCATATCATCTAAGACGACTATCGCTAATCTTATCTGTCACTGAAACTACAATCTTTTCACGGATATACTTGTTTTGTAATTCGTCTCTACCTGTAAAGTTACTCATCCACTTGAGCATCCTCATATATGTAACACTTGATTTTATGCTTCTCTTGTAATGACCAACATTATGTGCCATAAAGCATTGCACGTCTAATCACCATCTTATAAATTTATTTCTAAAGTTTGAGGGGTACTATGACAGACCGGCTATTTCAAAAAATAGGGTTGATTTGATTAGGAGGAAATTAGAATGGTTTATTTAGAGAAAGAGGGCTAATTTGGATTTAGATTTGGAAGGAAATTAGGAAGGTTTATTTAGAGAATGATGACTGATTTAGATTCAGATTTAGAAGGGAACTATTTAGGGAAAGATGACTGATTTGAATTCAAATTTTGAAAGAAATTAGGGGAGCCTATTTAAGGCTAACAATATGGTAATTTCAGGATTATGTTTTGAGTTTACTGAAATTAGAACTTTTTAGGTTGTGAGGGCACTAGCCGTAGACTAGGGATTTGGGAGAGCCGAATCTTTCTCTCCAATTGAAGATAAAATTGTATTTTGCTTTTTTCTTTCATATATCTTTTAATAAAAAGTTCTTGTGTGTTCTTCTTCCTAGTTTTCTCACTTCTTATCAAATTGGTATCAGAGCGGTGTCCTGGGCTAAAATTGAGGCCTTTCCTTACCAATTTCTTATGTATTTTTCCCTCAGAAGTGCTGATTTTTGTTGTTTGAAGACCAGAATTACTGTATCTTGTGGTTTGGAGCCTTGATCCGGATACCTATGACGGGAAGAAAGTTAGAAGTGTTGGAGGGGGAGATCAGATAACTAAAATTTGAAATTTCGAAACTACAAACTTAACTTTCATATTTCAAAAGTCAAATTTAAGTTGTCCATGAGAAGATCGATGGAAAATTTTCTATCTTGGAAGAGATGTTTAATAAGTTGCTTGAGGGCCAACCCAAGACAAGATCGTCGAAGGCGAGGGAAGCCGCCTACAGCCAAGAAAGTGGGAAAAATCCTAATTCGATAAGATGAAAGGAAGATCAAGAGATAAAAATTTTGGAGGGAGAAGAGAGAATGCCTCCCCTAGAGCCTATTCTAAGGGGTGTTGAATTTGAAAGAAGATGGGGTTTTGGTGAAAGGTTTGAATACGATTGTAGAAGTAATGATTGGGACACTTGGGAGGAACCAACCCTTGGAGAATAGGAAATTATGGAGGAAATAAGAGGAAACGGAGGAGATCCGAGGGTCAATAAGCTAGTTTCTCTTACTTGTTTTGTTTCAACACTAGTTTTGCCCACAAACCTAGTTTCTATTTTTTTTAGTACCAATTCCTCTTTTCAGAGCTAGTTTGTTTACCACCCTGTCTTAACTTTTATTTACTTTTATGCATGTGTTCGTAGCTTGCACAGGAGAGAGTCAACCGGAAGCTGGAGTTTGCCAAGAGCTGGAGCTTTCTAGAGTTTTGCTTAGGGTTTTAGTTTGTTGGATTTTAGAGTTTGTGATGTTTTAGTTTTAGGAGTTTGAGTTTAGTTGGTGCGAGTTGTACTTACGTTTGAATAGTGCAAACCCTGATTTTCATTCTTTTATTATACTTTTGAATTAACAACATTAATTAATTAGATTACTAAATGAAATTTAGTTTTAATTGCACTTTAATATAGTTAATTAAAGTTTAGATTTTTTAACTTTAAATTAACTGCCCAACTCAAATTTTCATTTAAATTCTATTGCTCAATCATTTTAATTAACTTGAAGATCTAAATTTGGTTTTTAAATAAATTAGCTAAATTAATCAATTAATTACGTAATTCGAACATTTGGTTTTATTTCTAAATTTATTAGTTTAATTAATTAGAGCTTTCATTTTATTTTTAATTAATTATTTAAGTTTAAATTTCATTTTTTTATATTAATCAATTGGTTCAATTCATTAAATTTTATTTTTATTTTTACATTAGAGAAATTACTTATATAATCAAGTGGAATTTGAATTTATTTTAAATTGGTCAATTAATTTTACTAATTAATAAATTTGAAGTTTTAATTTTAAATTAATTAAAACTCCTAGACTCTCCAATTCGAAAGCCTCCCAACGCCCCCTCCCTGCGAGGGGAGGTCAAGGGGGAACTCGCCCTTTCAAACCCGCCCAACCGGATAGATTTCGACGGCCAAGGGTTTCGGGACAACGACGGGTCCCATAACCGGTCTTCAAGACTTCCAAGTAATCGTTGTTTATTTTTCATTTTTTCTGAAAATTTCGACAGCCTTCTCGAGTCCCCCCCCCCCAGCGAGGGGAGATTGGGAGGGCACTTGCCTTTTCAAAACCCGCGCAGCTAGATAGAATTTGATGGCCGAGAGCTTCGAGAGGGTGACTAGTCCTTAAATCGATCTTCAAATCCTCCAATGAAATGTTTGTTAAGAGAACTTTGTAATTCGACGTTTCCTCGAAATTTTGAAAGCCTTTAAGCACCCCC